CATTCTCACCAAATAAAGGTTTTATGATTTTATTACTTGCAAGGGAAATGTTCAGACAGCACTACCAAGTAAACGGGTACTCTTCTCTTTCCCACTAGTTCTCTGCCACAGTCTGTTCATGTGCTGCAGTGTTACCATGACATCCTCCTTTATCATACTTTGTTCAAGAATATATAAACTGAAAGAAAAAAATGATCAAAAACATATAAACATTTTTCTCAAAGAAGTTTATCATAATATGTTCACAAAAGGGAAAATATATGTAAAAATAGAGCTTCCAAACACAAGTAAAAAATAGTGTTTGTATTTTTAATATTACAACTATTGATAATGTTTGATTTAATTTCTGACTAAATAAAATACATTCCCCCAAATATTTGAGAGACATAATTTTTTAATTAACACGGCATTTTAAAAAAAAATATGTATTTATTTTTAGAGATAGTGGAAGGGAGGGAGAAAGAGAGGGAGAGAAACATCAATATGCAGTTCCCTCAAGGGCGCCTCCCATCAGGGACCCGGCCAGCCCCCAGTCATGTGCCCTGTCTGGGAATCAAACTGGCAACCCTTTGGTTCACAGGCTGGCACTCAATCCACTGAGCCACACCAGCCAGGGCAAATTAACATGGCATTTTAATTAAAATATATGTGATAAAGGTAGCATATATTTATAAAATGATTTTAATAAATACTTTCCTTATTTTTTTAATTTTAGTGTCATATTTGAAGTTTTGCACTGCTATAAAAAATATGATTCTTGCTTCTTGTGTTACTGGGCCAAAGTAGGTGTGCCTGATGCTTCAAAAGGCCAAAATTCAAAATGTCATAGTTTGGAGTAAAGAAAGGTTTATTGATCTATAAATTGCTAACCAAGAAGATAGGAGCCCTAGTAGTTCCTCAAATCCATTTTAAGAAAGTACAGAGTTCAGGCTCCTTTTATGTCAAAGGCATAGAAAATGGGCGGGGCTGTTTTTATAAAAGCTCGAGCCCCCCCCAAAAAATTCCTCTAATGATTGACATCCGTAAAGAAGGTGTTATTAGGCTGAAGGCCGTGGGAACAACAAAGGGTTGAACAAGATAGAGTCAGAGAAACCAAGCATTTCACTCAGCTACACTTGGAGGAAAATAAGGAGTATTTCTGGGACAAAGGAAGGTTGTGTTGTTAAGGAACCATAAATGGCAAAAAAGCAGAAAGTTACCCAAAAGTCAGATTTCACCAAAGGAAACAGTATTCTTTATTATATTATCTTAGGTCTACAAAGACTCCTGCAATTAACACTTAACAAAACTAATTTATTCAGAAAACTGAAGCTTTCCAGGAAACATTTGGTCATCAACAGATTACACTGACTCTAATACGTTTAGGAAAAGATAAATATAGCCTGGGAAAAGCAGCATGAGCATTGGCTAAACCCATTAGGAGCAGATCTTAATGATTTTTCACAGTGGTAGGTGTTCATAACTCTCAGCTAAGTATCTGAAGATTAAAAGGACTACATAAATTTTCAGAATTTTTGAGGGAAAAAAATCAAGTGACTTAATTAGATTACATTAATGTGTATTGTATTTGCCTAAGTTGTTGAAAACTGTAATGTAGTAAAATTAGCTGTATAGTTTTAAGGAAAAATTATTCAATATATATTGTGTTTAGTTCTAAAAGGCATGATTCTTGGCATTTCTTTTCTCATTAACGTCTAGAATCCTGTATAATAGCTTGAGACAAATTTAAAAGCCATTTGTTCTAACTTTTTTATCTGAATAGGAGTTTTTCTACAATATGTTTTATTGTAGAAATATATAATTTTGTATAGCAAAATTTTGGTAAAAAGACAATTTATTTTAAGAGCTCTTACTTCTTTTTGTTAATTTGAAATCTGCCTTGCTGACTTGATATTAATTATTTTCTCTGGACTTATATATCCACTCAATTACTAAAAATTACATAGGTGTAAGTAATCGATATAAACTTACAATCTGGCCCCCAAATCTTCTCTTTTGAAGTTAAATCTAAATTATTTTTCCCACAACACACTGACTTCTGTTATTTCATAACGATTCAGATCTCTAATCTGAATCTGAAGTTTACATTTCTCTAACTTGTAAATTTTACTCTTAAAGTGTTCTCTTAAAAAGGAACATAGCAGAATGCAGTAGTGCTGGTACTTTTTCTCCTAAAAATAGCTGATATTTCTCAAATTGCTATTCTACAGGGTTACGTTCCACAAGTGACTTTTGGATGTGTTTTGGGGAAAATGGTTCTATTATTAAATAGATATGGGAGATACTGTGTTAACAAGTTTTTATATAACAGAACATTTAAAGCAAAGAAAACTATTAATTACTTTTGTGGTATCTGAAAGGTAGAATGGTGGTTACCAGAGCCTAGGAGGAGGGGAGAGGGGGGTTTGTTTAAAGAGTATGGAGTTTCAAATTGAGAGATGAAAAAGTGCTGGAAATCTGTTTCACAACAATGTGAATATTTAGCACTACTGAACCTCACACATAATAAGGGCAAAAACGGTAAATTTCTTATTATGGATATATTTTTTTGCTACAAAGAAACTGTTCGATCAAAAAATTATGGTACATTTACACAATGGAATACTATGCAGCAGAAAGAAAAAAAGAACTACTAAACTTCGCGACAGCATGGGTGAAACTGGAGAGCATCATGCTAAGCGAAATAAGACAGGGGGCGAAAGACAAATACCATATGATCTCACCTGTAAGTGTACCCTAACCAACAATACAAGGAAAATAAGACCAACAACACTGAAAGGAAAAGAAACGAACAAAGACAAGAAGATGGGGGGGGGACGGGGGAAAAGGAAGGGAATGGGAGGGTCGGGGAACATGTAGCAAGGTCTCATGGACAAAATCAAAGGGGAAGGATTGAGGGAGGGAGGGGGGGAGGGGGCAGAGGAAGGTGGGGGGGGGAGGCAGAGACAAATGTATTTGAAAAAATAAAGAAAAATTAAAAAAAAATAAAAAATAAAATAAAAAATAAAACTGTTCGCTCTATTGTACAATACTATTTCCTTATTTCTATAAATGGTTTTAACTATTGCTCATATTTGATCATACCTATTTTTTGTTATATTTCTTGAGGCACATATATTAATACCTTTGAGCAATATACCATGCAACATATGTTGATCAAATACTTCTTGATCTTTATTGTTAGAAATTAAAATTGTAAGACTTTCAATCCATCCATGTGAGAGTCAAAATTTTGTGTTTCTAATGGATCATTCTCTTTCATAGAAAGACTTTTAACTTAATTTTTTATTTAAGAACTCATTTAAGTTTATGCTATCAGGAAGGAATGAGAACCTACTACATCTTCTCCAAATATTTAATAATACAAGTTTAATAGGATCTAGGTAAAAAGAGAATTCTGTGCAAGTTTCTCAAGACTTTCCCCTTGACTGTTTCATTTTACAAAATAAAATTATTTTGTTTCTCTTATCCAAAAAGATACTTAAATCCATTTACATTCAAACTATATTATCTTATATATGTTATCCTGTTAAAAGAATGACTATGTAAAATGTACATTAAAATCAAGGCATGCCATATTCAGGCCATATTTTGCTCTGAAATATTGGATTGGCCAATTATAAGATAAACGTGATTCACTTTGTTGATGTTTTCTTTTTCTCTATTTAAAAAATATTTTTGTGTGTTAAAATACATTTGTCTCCATTTTCCTGCCACCACTTTCCCCTGCCTCACTCCCCCACCTCCCACCCTCAATCCTTCCCCACTTTGGCCTTGTCCGTGGGTCCTTTATACATGTTCCTTGACTTGACCCTTCCTCTTCTTTTCTCCATTATCCCCCTCCCTCCTTCCCTCTCGTTACTATCAGTTTCTTTTTTCTTTCATTGTTGCTGGTTATATTTTCCTTGTTTATTTGTTCTGTTGATTAGGTTGCACTTATAGGCAATATCATACAATATTTGTCTTTCACCCTCTGGCTTATCTCACTTAGCATAACGCTCTCCAGTTCCATCCATGCTGTCATGAAGGGTAGTAGCTCTTTCTTTCTTTCTGCTGCATAATATTCCATTGTGTAAATGGAACATTTTCAAAGATAGACCACATGATAGGACACAAAACAAGCCTCAACAAATTCAAGAAAATTGAAATCATAATAAGCATTTTCTCAGACCACAAGGGCTTGAAACTAGAAACCAACCTCAAGGAAAAAACTCAAAAACATTCAAACTCATTTACGATGACTGAATAGCATGGTATTAAACAATGAATGGGTCAATTATGAGATCAAAGAAAAAAATCAAAAAGTTTCTGGAAACAAATGAAAATGAACACACAACAGTCCAAAGCTTATGGGACACAGTGAAGGCAATCCTGAGAGGGAAGTTCATAGCAATACAGGCTTACCTAAAAAAGATAGAAACATTTCAAATAAATGACCTAACCCTACAGCTTCAAGAACTGGCAAAACAACAACAAACAAAGCCCAGATTGAGTAGAAGGAAGAAAATCATCAAGATCAGAGAAGAATTGAATGACATAGAGACTAAAAGAAAAATCCAAAGGATCAGCAAATCCAGGAGATGGTTCTTTGAACAGAAAAACAAAATCAACAAGCCTTTAAGCAGACTCATCAAGAAAAAAAGGGAGAGGACTGAAATATATAATATCAGAAATGAAAGAGGAGAAATCACAACTGGTACCACAGTAATACAAAGGACTATAAGATATTACTATGAACAATTATATGACAAGAAATTTGAAAACCTCAATGAAATGGACAAGTTTCTAGAAAAATATAACCTTCTAACACTGAACAAAATAGAAGCAGAAAGCCTGAACAGACTGATAGCAGCTGGTGAATTTGAAGCAGTGATCAAAACACTCCCGGCACACAAAAGCCCTGGACCAGACAATTTCACAGGAGATTTTTACAAAACATTTAAGGAAGAGCTTACCTTTGCCCTTCTCAGACTGTTGATGTTTTCTTAATAATCTTAATTATACTCACCCGGCGGGGCAAATACTGTAATCACAAAGGTGGCTTTCCCAGGGTGAGACTCACCCATTCCACTCCGGTGTGCTGACCCCTGAGTTTTCCCGAAATGCGGGAAACTTGACTGCATAATTTATGATAGTGAGAGATTGCGTTCATGCTTTTCCTTGAAAAAAGAAAAAAGAAAAAAAAAACCCGCAATTAAATACCAACTATGCCTACATCCTTGTAAAATCTTTAAAAGTGAATAAACAATTCTAGAATTTTTATTATAGCATTTGCAAGTAAAATTTCAGTTTCTTTGGGAGGAAAGTTATAAAAAAACAAAAATAAAAACAAATAAATGAATAGCCATGGCCAGGTAGTTCAGCTGGAGTGTTGGAATGGAGTGGTGGAGTGTCCCATGCACCTAAAGCTTGTGGGTTCAATTCCTGGTCAGAGCACATACCTATGTTGTGGGTTTGATTCCTAGTTGGGACACATGTGGGAAGTAACTGATTGATGTTTCTCTCTCACATTGATGTTTCTTTCTCTCACTTTCTCTCTCTCTCTCTCAAATTAATAAACATATTTTTAGATGAGGATAAAAAAGGAGATAAGTGAATATATCCAATAGATTATCACTAAATAAGATTGAGTTATCCAATTAATTTAATTCCACACAAAGTCATAGCATTGATATGGAATATAAAGAAAACTTTCTTTCCTGTTGTCAATATCTGCTGAAAATCCATAATTGACCCCTTACACAAAAATGGATTTAAATTTATAATGTTATAACCCTTCTTATGTCTCAGACTTTACCTGTTCCAAAATATAGTTTAAATATTAAAGCAACATCATAAGATTTAAAACATTACACAGAGCTAATTTATTCAGAAAATAATATTTTTAAGTTTTATTATTATTTTTGAAATATTGTGTTTATTTATTTTTAGAGAGAAGAGGAGGGAAATGAACATCAATGTGTGGTTGCCTCTCACGCACCCCCTACTGGGGACCTGGCTTGCAACCCAGGCATGTGCCCTGACTGGGAATCGAACCTGCAACCCGTTAGTATGTAAGATGGCACTCAATCCACTGAGCCACACCAGCCAGGGCTGAAGTTTTATTCTTCATGTAAATGCTTTACTATTTATTTCACCTGCAGAAATAAAGATAACTCACATTATCTTTATAGATATGAATCCATAGAACCTCCCCTTCCAATATTTAAACAGGCTGTGGATACATATATATATACACATGTACATATGTGTATACACATATGTGTATACACACACAAATGCACAATTCACGACCTTTCAAAAAAGATATTAAAATCTGTAATGTGTCTCCTTCATTCATAAAATCCTATGTTTTTTCTTTTTGAGTACTAGAATTAAATAAAATATTAAATTAATATTTATTTTCTTCTCTTTAATACAGTTTTTTAAAAAAGTCTGCATTACTACAGTGTTTATTTTCCTGTACAGAATTTTCCCTCTGTAGTTCATTCTTACAATATTTGCAACTTCTGCAATTTTGATTTGGTTATCTCTAGTTGTTAGTAAAGGACGCAATACTCTCTTTATAGGGAAGGTTGTATTTATATTTATCCTAATGAAAAATGCTCTATGCCTCACTATATTTGCTTCCAATCTGAATAATTAAAATTGTAAACTTATCTAGGCTGATTTTTTATTATGGCTTCTGCTAGTCATTAAGTATTGCATTTATTCTTACCAACTTCAACAAACAGAGAACAATCACAATAAGTAAATGAGACAGCATCTACAATCTTGTGGTCTATTCAATTTATGAGACATGGAAATAGATACTTAAAGAGTAGAGGAAACTGTCATTTTGCAAAGGTCCATATAAAAATCAGCTCAATTTGTACAATCAAGTGAATGTGGAAATGTCTGTTATAAAACAGCAAATCAATCTCCCTGATTAAAAAATTTGAAATGGAACATTATAAAAAGTTTAATTTTATTACATTTTCTATATATATTAATAACATAGGATCATGCAATGTGGAAATAATGAATTTAAAGCATAATTGTTAATCATTTTGATGTATAAGGGACAAGCTTTTCAGCTGTTGTGCTTTGTGGACAGAGATGATAGCTTCCCTGTTAATGTTCACCTGTAGTTTCCCTGTGAATATTCATCTGTCATGGCAGCGGTTTACTAGACCAAACTTCTTCCACCTCTACCCCCGAAGCTTAACATCACTCCCCAGTTTTCCTTAGTTACCTTTATTAAACCAGACCAGCTCTCTTTTCCATTTTTACTCCATGGAACCATTGCTGACCTTTACTTTTATAGGTTGTAATCAGCAACTGCAAAAGATACTTGTAAAATTAATCTGTCAATCAATAAATACTCACCAAATGATTGATCTGTTTTCAGGGTTCTGCTAAAAAGATAATTTAAAACATCATGCTATATCAATTATCATTAGAAATAATATTATGTAAGAGACATAGCTAAGCACTTTTTATTACCAATGAGCACGTCCCAAAACATAATAGAGGAAAATCATTGCAGTTTTTGAGATCCTTGTGAAAAAACATAGATTTTTTTTCCTTTACCTAACAACTAAATTCAAATGTATAGCTGTGTCAGGACAGAGTTGAGGTGATTAATTGTTTAATTGAATAAAGTAAATCAGATTTTAAGTGAGAATTAAATGTGGGTATATTATATATATGTATATATACACACACACACACTATTTATAATTGAGCATATAACATGGCAAGGTTTACAATTGTGCAGTGGTTATCTATTGTTCTGAAACAAATCAGCTAACCCTTTTTAGCTTAAATAAATATTAATTTGCCCATAAATCTGCATTTGGACAAGGATCATTTGTACAGTTCTTTCTTTCTCCATACAGCATTTGCTGGAACAGCTCATCTGGGGCTACTGAATGCATATTTAAGGTGATTTGCTCATATATTTAGCAAGTTCTTGAGTTCTTTCTTTCCATAGGGACTTTTCCATGGGATCACTTGCTCTTCCTCCCAGCTGGATTTTCAGAGCAAACTTCAAAAGCAATAGAAGATGGAAAATAATAAGTCCTTAAGGTCTGAACACATAAACTGGTCTAGAGTCACGAGTGTTTTATCCTATTGGTCAAGCAGTTGCAAAATCCAGATTCAACAAGAGGGAACATAAACCTCACTCTTCATGCGCTGTCCATAAAAAAAAAGAAAAAAAAATTCAATTCAATTTTGTCATCAACAAACACACATTAAGTTCTAGTATAGCAGTGATGACCCATTGTCAACAAATACATTATAAAAGATATTGCTGAGACATTCTCCAATCCAATAGGGATAGATCCCATCAATTAGGTTGTTGACACTTGATTTTATTTGCTTGGCAAGCTACTTTGCCAGTGGATAAATACTGACCCAAAATAAATTAATCAGATTCTGTCTTCTAGAAATTTGGAATTGGGTCTGAGAGATAGTCAATCACCTTTGAAGTGGATTGATTTCAGATTATGTAAACAGAAAATTTGTGGAGACTATTTCAAACTATGTACACACACAAAAAAATGAAATTGACTTATAAAGAAAGAAAGTAATGAATCAAATAAGATCTAACAATGAAAAAGTAAATGAAAAGCAGGTTTCCAGATACTTGATTGCTGACCATTTCCAGGTTTTGTTCCCTCAGTCATTTATGTATTAATTCATATTTACGTAATTTTTCCCCTGGGCCAGTCCCTGGCTATATATTAGTAAACAAAAAAGACAATAGCCCTGCCTCCATGGAATCTGCATGAAAATGATGTAAACAAACAGCAAGGTAAACATATAAACAAACACGACACTTTCAGAGAGAGACAAACCTTTTTGGTTGAACCTAGGTGTTTTAGATAAGGTTTTCAGAAATGGCCATTAATTTTATGGTTAGCAACACATTCTACATGTGTGTGCTGCTCACTTAATTATCATAATTTTATTCTGACTTCTTAATAAAATTGGCCATAACCCTATGCAATACAGATCAAAAGTAATCACACTGATTCAATTACAATTTTCAAGCAAAGGAATAAGATTAAAATGAGACTTTAATCCCAAAGATCCACTACTGTGAATGACATAGGAATATAATTTTCTCTTTTCCCTTATTTTTAAATTAAAATTGTTCTGTCAATGCAAAAAAAGATGAGTTTTTAAGAGCTTAGAACTAGGGTGTATGGATTATAGGCCATCCATGTTTGCTAATTGGCTTCACTCAAAAGAAAAACAAGCTTTATTATAAATTCTTGAATGGAAAGTATTTTCACAAATTTGAGAAACATTGCTTGACATTGGAATCCTACTGTCCCACAAAAATTGGGAAAAACTGGTGCTGTCTACCTTGATTATTACATATTAAAGAAATGACTCCTTGGTTCCTATGGTGGGGTCGGGGGGGCATCCCTGTCTTGTAAATCTGGTGAAAAGATTTACATCTTAGAAGAAAAAGAATTTATAATTATTAGTTCTCTATAGTAAATGTTCAAAACAAAGGGAAGTCAGACCTTTGTGTTTAGATCCTGTGAATTCTGTTAAGAGCAGAGGCTAGGAGGAAGGTCAGAGGCAAGAAAAAGCTTGTCTAGAGTATTATCAAGCTCAGGGTATAGTTAGGGCTTCATGAAAATAAGAGAGAAAAAGATAGATGCACTGTTATGGATATTATAGATATTTTACATAAATAATATATATTTATATATAATACAAATTGTTTAGTATCGTATTATCTATGTGATAGAGTATACATATATGAGTATTGTTGAGTATACATGGTCTTCCCAGAAAGTATCTAACCATGTAATATGAAAAAATAGAGATACTTCTTGAAGAAGATACAAGAAACATTGTGCATAGAATGATGACGCCTCAGTCCCTTTCCAAGTAGGCACCTTGGGACCTCACACAGTTCTCCCAATCGCTTTCAGTTGCCTGTCATATTTTCCTGAATCTCATTGACAGTCTGAAATCTCTTCCCTTTCAAAGATGACTTTACTTTTTAGAAAAGCTAGAAATCACAGAGTGCCAAATCTGGGCTGTAGGGTGGCAGAATCACCTGGGTGATTTGATGTCTCATCAAAAAACTCTACACGAGATGTGTTGTCATGATGAAGCTGCCAATCACCAGATGCCCATAGTTTTGGCTTTCTGAA